GGACATTTCCTTGGGTTCCCGTTGTGAATTCCACTCCAGGATCCCGGGAGGACGCAGTGATCAGGGTTTGGCTGGGGTCTGCCCTCCCAGGTGCCCTCCTGCAGACACTGTGCCGCGCGCTCACTGTCCCAGTGCCCCATCTCCGCCCAGCTTGAGTCCTGCCAGAGCACTCGGAGCTCAGAAGTGGGTTTGAAATGTAAGCTGGCGCGGTGCTCAGGAGCAGTTGCTGCAGCATAGCTCATTTACACCTTGGAGAGATGTCTGAAAATAGGGGTTTTTTTCTTTTCTCTGAAGACAAGGGAGAAAACAGTGATAGAACAGTATTGGAGGCTATTGGTTAGGCAAAAAGATGGGAATGTTTTTTAATAATAATTCCACTGCAGAGTTCCTATTACTTGTGCCTGAGGGACTTGAGATACACGCAGGGAAAACTTGAAAACCACACACCCGGGCCTATCTAAATTTGCGGAGGGAATAGTAAGTAGCAAATAGAGCAGTAAGTTGAAAATACGAAGCTTCAGAGACTGACTTTTAAATAAATTTTTAACTCATGCTGAGGAGGGGGCAGCACATCCTGGCATTGATTGACACCACACTGGTACAGTGAAATCTACTACACCATTTATCTAGAGGCTTCAGATGTTTGAGAGATTTTCCAAGAGAGCACAGCAGTAAACACTTCCCAGTTAGTCTTTATAGTAGTAAAGTAAGTATTTTTTTTATACGTGAATTCCTCAGGCATGTATCTGAAACATTCTTCCCATGTTTCTCTTCTCTAAGGGAGAGTCACCAAAGAATTTGTTGCTTCTGGCAAGTATTCATGCCTTTTTTTCTGTGAGGCTTTGTCTCTTTTCCATTCTCTGGTCTCATCCTCTGTTTCAGCCCCAGGATCTGGAGCTGGGAGCTGCTCTAGCCCACAGCACCCCCAGGATCTGAGCTGCAGTGACAGCCCTGCCTGGTTCAGATATGCCCTGGCTAAGCACAAACTGTGTGACAAGGTCCAGGATGGGTGTCATTCCTGCTCAGTCTGTCAGCGCTGTGGAAAAGTTCTGCCCTTGTACTTCTCAAGCACTGCACGTGCCTGGTGATGGGTCTGAGTTGAGCAACCTCATGGAACAGCATGTAATGCTGTGGGAAAGCAGAAATACTCCAGTGTGCTAAAAGAGTTTTTGTCTTGTAAACCCGACATGTTTCTTTTCTTTTTAAGAGCTAATATCTCAAAGCAAGAGTTCTTCTGCCAGGCACTCAGTGCCCCTGAGTCACATGTGCACTGAGCCCCTGGGAGCAGGAGACACTGAAGTGGAGCAGGATCTGCTTCCCAACTCCCAAACAGCTCGGATGCCTCCGTGATGGGAACCTGGTTACAACATTCTGTCCCCTGACCCCATTGCACCATGTCCTTGTGTGCAGTGTGCGGGATGCTGACTGACCTCCCTCAGCTGTAAAACTTTGACCAGTCAGCCTGTGGAATCTGTTTTGCCCAATTAGGGTGGAGTATTTTGATTTTTATCAAAGTCTTCTCCAAGGTCTTGATGTCTTCAGAGTTTGCCAGGAAATGTGGTTTCTAACCTTTGTTTGCAGTTGCAAGCCTTTTTCAAAAAATATTATAATCCATACATATTGTATAATGTAATTTAATGTGAATTTAAACAAGTACATACATGTATAAGTGTGTGTGTCATGTTTGACAGGAACACTTGGATCTGGGAGCAGGCTTTCCTGGTAATCTTGTCAGGAGATGGTATCCAAGGTGTCCTTAAAAAAAGTGGAGACAAACTTTGTATCAGGACCCGTTACAATAGGCCAAGGGGGTGACGCTTTGAAACTAAAAGAGGGTTGATTTAGATTTATTATAAGAAATGTTTTACAATGAGGGTGAGGAGGCCCTGGCTCAGGTTGCCCAGAGAAGCTGTGGCTGCCCCTGGATCCTTGGAAGTGTCCAAGGCCAGGTTGAACAGGACTTGGAGCAACCTGGGCTGGTGGAAGGTGTCCCTGCCCATGGCAGGGGGTGGGATGAGATGAACTCTGTTCCTTCCAACCCGAACCATTCTGTGATCTTTCTAGAAGTGCCATAAACATTTTCTTAGCAGCTTGAAGTTTCTTAAAGTGCATTTAGATTGTAGGAAAGTGTTTTTCAAATTTTTGTTACGTTGAGGTACAGACTGTTCTTTGGAAAGAAAAGAAAGTGAATGATCTGGTGCTAGGTTAATCTTTGTGGGACTGAGGTAAAAAGCTTTTTAAGGTTCACCTAAAATAAACTCCTGTTAAATGTAAATAGTGTATGTTATTCTTGCAAGATTTGCTGAGGAAATTAGGGAGAGTTTGCGTTGCCCTCTCTGTCGCTTGGCTCTGCCACGCACCCACTGCTGCTCAATTTGTGGTGCTCTCTGTTTACCGGGGCCAGATGAGTCCTCTGTGTGTTTCCAAATTTACAGTAATTTAGTCCCTCACATAATGTTCTCTGCTTAAATGTTTAGTAATTAGTAGAAACCAGGTAGAGTGGTTTTGTCTGACTCATTTTAGATTTGCTTGAGGATGTTTATTTTTCAAGCTACTGCAAATACGATGTTTTTTATTTTCCAGCTTTATTTTTTTAACTCGTGTGTATCCTTCATGCAGTGTTTTTCTTCTCCCTTCCCCACAGTTCGGATGTATCCACCTACCCAAAAGGTCTATAAATAAATTTGAGTACTGTGTAAAATTGTTTTCTCCTGGGCAGCAGCTGTTTGGCCTCTGCATGTCCGTGCCCGGAGCGCTGGGGACATCCAGTGGCTGCAAAACACTTCATGACAATGTTTTGCAACAGTGCAATAAAATGCTTAATGGTGATCCCTGAGGAGATAATAGGCTGGTCTGTGGCCTCGGGCTGGTTTTGGTGGCGGGTTTGGCACTGACCACGTTGGTCTTTGGACAGTTGGGCCCTCGGCCCCTCTTTGAGCACCTCTACGCGTGTTCTGCTGCAGTTGTAAGCCGTGACTTTTTCTCTCTGTCCTTCAGGCCTGGCAGTTGTGCATTCCCAAAGCACAAACCAGCTGGATGTGGGGAACAATCCCCGTGTGGGCACCAAGCGCTACATGGCCCCGGAGGTGCTGGACGAGACGATCCAGGCAGACTGCTTCGACTCCTACAAGAGGGTGGACATCTGGGCCTTCGGGCTGGTGCTCTGGGAGGTGGCCAGGCGCATGGTCAGCAACGGTGAGTGCCTGGCACCCTTCCCCTGCCTCTAGCAGGGGTGGGGAAATGGCAATTCGTGGCAAAGCACCTGCCACCAAAGAGCCCAGGAACATGCTGGACCTCCACAGTAGTTTGGTTCCTCACACTTCGAGGAAACTGTTGGTGTGTTGGGTACAGTGGCCGAATCTTGTTGTCATTTCTGTTAAGGCAGAGGAGAAAGAGGGTCCCCTGCTCATTCTAGACCCTGGTGAGAACTAACTCATACCAAACAGTCAACATTTTAGATCATAAGGTCTCCACCCTTTTTCCACTTAAACCATAGTGAATACTTGTAGGAGGCTATTTCTCGTGACAAACCCTAAGAAACAGAAGGAAATTATGTAGGAAGTGCAGAAGTTGTCAAAATTCGGGGCTGCTCTTGCTTTACCAAGTTAAATGCATTCCCAAGGCAGGACTTGGTCCACGTGCAGTTCTGCTTGGGAAGGGTGCTCCTGCCATCCTGTCTAGAGTGCAGGGTTTCTTCCTTGCTCTTGGCAATTTAGGAACCTTTCAGCTGGGTGTCTGTTGGTGTGATTCCTGCTCAAGTCAGAAGTCCTCTCTGAGTTCTAGACCTCAGGTGTGCTTTCTGGACCCAGATGGGTAGGAGGAGGCGAGGATGCCCTTCAGATGTGTGCAGACCCTGGCAGGGATGGGTTGCTCACAGCTACATATTTAAATATGAGGAAATTGCAGATTGTCACACACATTTGTTTACTCTATGTCTGATCTGTTCCCACTAAGCCCAAATCTCGTGAAGGTGTGTGTGTGGCTAGTTTGAGGAAGGAGGAAAGGTGGTGAATGCATGACCTTAATGTTTCTGAGGGTGTTTATTGGCACAGGTGTGTCGTAGGCAGATGGAGACCTGCTTGGTGCTGGGCTGCATTACGTCACTGTCAGTGCCTGGAGAATTTCAGCTGGAACTTTGGTGTTCTCAGTGCAGTTTTATATCCTGCACTGTCTGTCTTGGCAGTCTGTGAGCACCTTCATGGTATCAGATGCCATAAAGTGTTGTGGTGGCTGGGCAGGAGTTGATGAATTCCTGTGCCAGAGGTGATGCTTGTGTGGTGGGGAGGGAAGGTGTGAACTGTAGTTCATTTGAGGGCACAAAGTCAGCAGCCCTGGGGGAAAGCAGTACAGTGTATTGGAAATTACAGAAGTCCCCTTAAAACTGTGCAGGAAGGCCAGGCTGGGTTGTGCTGCAGGAGCTGGGTCTGGCAGGGGCGGCAGCGAGGGCAGCGTGTCACGGGTCAGTGAGGCTGG